TAAAAAAAAAAAAAAAGAATTTTTTTAGGTAGAGACGGGATCTGGCTATGTTTGCCCAGGCTGGAATTCTTGAACCTTCACAGCTGATCCTCCTCCTTGGCCTCCAAGAGTGCTCGGGATTACAGGTGTGATCCACCTGGCTGGGCCAGGAACAGCTTTGCAGGGCAAATTCCCTACCTCCTCCCTCTGTAGAAGGGCTTCTGCGGGCGGCAGATGGGGTGGGTCTCGAAGCCCTTGTAATTCCCAGCACTTTGGGGCGAGCCGAGAAGCGGGGTGGATCACGAACCCTGGGCGGGGTCAGGAGATCGAGATCGTGTTCCCTGGCTAACATTGGTGAAACCCACGTTCTCTACTAAAAATACAAAACTAGCCGGGGGCGTGGTGCGGTGCGCTGTAGTCTCATCGCTACTGGAGGCTGAGGCGCGTGCTCACCAAAGAATGGGTGGAACCCGGGAAGGCGGAGCCTTGCAGGTGAGCTGAGATCACGGCCGACTGCACTCCAGTGCCTGGGAGGACAGCTGCAGACTCCGTTCTCAAAAAAAAAAAAAAAAAAGAAAGGGCTTCTTGTGGGTAATGTCGCTGGTGGATACATAAGGAAGCCTCAACAGAATTTGGCAATGGGAATTTTGAGAGAGTAGCAGAGCAAGACTGCGGTTCCAAAGGCCGCTTGGAGTAAGAATAAATTGGTGCTGCTGGAGTTTGGAAACTAGATGTAGTTTGCATGGCCCAGGCACTGTGGCATCACACCGTGGTTAATCCCCAGCCACTTATGGCGAGTGGCCTGAGGACGGGTGGTGGATCACCTGAGTGTCAGGAGTTCTGAGACAAGCCTGGCCAGCGCTGGTGGAAACCCTGGGCCTCTATAAAACGATTACAAAAATTAGCCGCGTGGGCGTGGTTGGTGGTTGCCTTGTAACGTCAGGCTACTCATTGGATGGCTGAGGCCAGGAGAATTGCTTTGAATCCAGGAGGGCGGGAGGTTGCAGTGAGCTGATCTGATTTTGCCCCCACCTGGCCACCCCCAGGCTGGAGGTGACAAGATGTTGGACGGCGTCTCAAACAAACAAACAAACAAAAAGCCAAAAAGATGGCTGCGGCACTCGGTGGCTCGATTGCCTGTCAATCCCAGCCACTTTTGGGGAGGCCAAAGGCGGGAGGCTCACCAGGTCAGGAGGATCGAGAGCCCATTCCCTGGCTTAAACGGTTGAAACCCTGTCTCTACGCTTAAAAATTAGCCAAAAAACTTTAGCTGGGCTATGGTGGCGCGGGCACCTGTAGTCCCAGCTATTCGGGAGGCTGAGGCAGGAGAATGGCACGAACCCGGGAGGCAGAGCTTGCAGTGAGTCGAGATAGTGCCACTGCACTCCAGCCTGGGCGTCAGAGGGAGACTCCATCTCAAAAAACAAACAAACAAACAAACAGATGTAGTTTGCAGGGCAGGAGTGTAGGGTAGGAGGAGAGAAGATGTCAGTGGTTAGCTGGGTTTGGGTTTTGAAGGGCTCTGAATGCCAAACTAAGTTTAGCCTTTATTCTATGGGAGACGTGCAGCTATGGAGAGTTCTGGACAGAGAAGTAAGTGGTAAACTGTATTTGTTAGATTTCGTTTGCTGAAGGTCTGGTTTAGGCCATGGGACCCACAAAACACAAGAGAAGACAGCAAGGGACGCAGCTCCTCACCTCTCGGGGGCCCAGGGGCCGCCCGGGTAGGGGCCGCCCGGGTAGGGGCCTGGGACGACCTTCGAGGTCTTCCCTTGGCCATTCCCTTCCGCGTAGGCTCTGAAAGAAGAGTGTCAGGGATTTGAGTGATAGACAGCGCTCTTTGCCCCGCCCACAAGTCTAGTCCATTCTGAGGTTACGCCGCACCCCGCCCCCTCAGACTCTCCCATTAGCACCGCCCCTTAGGTACAGGTACATTGGCTCCGCCCACTAATTGGCCTCGCCCCCAAGTGCCCCACACCTCACTGGCCTTGCTCTTTGGGCCCGCCCACTTTAGGACATTCCTTCGTCGCTACCGGGTTCCAGGGTTGCCGATCTGGCCACACCCCTCTACATTTCTCGCCCCCCCCATTGGTCATGTCTTCCCCTTAACAGCCTTTCTCTCTCTCTAGACCCGCCCCTTCCTTGCTGTTGCCCACTCTGGTCCATCCTGCCGGTTCCGCCCCACTGTTTTGATTGGTTTCCTCCATGGTCACGTCCCGCCTCCACATTTCATGCCCACTCATTGGTTGCAGCCTTTCTTTAAAAGCCTCTCTCTCTGGCCGGGAGCGGTGGCTCACGCCTGTAATCCCAGCACTTTGGGAAGCCGAGGCGGGTGGATCATGAGGTCAGGAGTTCAAGACCATCCTGGCCAAGATGGTGAAACCCCGTCTCTACTAAAACCACAAAAATTAGCTGGGCGCGGTGGCAGGCGCTTGTAATCCCGGCTACTCGGGAGGCTGAGGCAAGAGAATCGCTTGAACCCGGGTGGCGGAGGTTGTGGTGAGCCAAGATCGTGCCACTGCACTCCAGCCTGGGCGACAGAACAGAATGAGACTCCGCCTCAAAACCAAAACCAAAAACAAAACAGGCCGGGCCGCGCGCGGTGGCTCAGGCCTGTAATCCCAGCACTTTGGGAGGCCGAGACGGGCGGATCACGAGGTCAGGAGGTCGAGACCATCCTGGCGAACACGGTGAAACCCCGTCTCTACTAAAAAATACAAAAAACTAGCCGGGCGTGGTGGCGGGCACCTGTAGTCCCAACTACTCGGGAGGCTGAGGCAGGAGAATGGCGTGAACCCGGGAAGCGGAGCTTGCAGTGAGCCGAGATCGCGCCACTGCACTCCAGCCTAGGCGACAGAGCGAGACTCCATCTCAAAAAAAAAAAACCTCAAAAACCTCAAAAAAGTCTCTCCTTCTCTCTCTCCTTCCTGGCCTTTGTCCACTCTTAACCAGCCTCGCTGGCCCCGCCCTCTCCCCGTCTCTGAAGCCTTCATTGGTCCGCTCTCTTGCCCCGCCTCCTCTGCCGCGCAGACTCACTGGAGCTCTTGGGCAGCCCATCGCCAACGCTGACGGTGAGGGTCCGACCGCCAACCTTGAGTACCGCCAAGTCGCCGCAGCCGCGGGAGAAGGTGACGCTGCGGGTGCCGCCACCGCCCCAGCCCTCCTTCTTCACTCGGAACTGTAGTCTGTGGGGAGAGAAGAAAGCTTGGGGGCGCGGGCCGGGGTCCCCCGCCCCATCCCACCCTCGCTGTTCCGGGGCAGGGGCGGGGCCGGGGCCGAGGCGCAGTTCGGCCGGGTAGATGGAGCGGGAGAGGGTGCTCCGCGCCGAGACCACCCCGAAATGGTGCTGGGGTTGGCGGGGCCGTACGTGTCGCTGAAGGTGAGGGGCAGGGGCCTCCGAGTCGCCTCCTCGAAGCGCTTGCACAGAAGGCTGACGAACTCGGTCTTGAAGACGCTCTCCAGGAAGCTGTCGACGGCGTCCTCTTGGAGGATGAAGAAGTCGTCCTGTCGCGTGCTGGGGAGGGGCGGGTGAGAGGGTCAGGTGGGACACAGGTGAGGGCCACAGGTGAGGGCCACAGGTGAGAGTGACAGGTGAAGGTTGCTGAAGGTGAATTTAGGGAAGGGTCAGTTAAGGGCCAAGTCAGGGGTGACCAGGTAGGAGAAAAAGAGGGATGTGGCAAGGAGTGGGAGAGGTGGTTACGAAAGAGGGCCGGGTGAGGTCTAATAAGAGGGTAATGTGCAGGACAGAAGCTTTTGGCACCTAAGAATCATGAGCGTAGGGGGCAGGTGAACATGACAGGTGGAGTCATGAGAGGGCTACAGGCATGGCACCAGGTAAGATTGTCAGGGTAACAGACAGGGTCACTAGAATGAGGGCAGCCAGGGGATAGGTTCGAGCGACTATGTGGCAGGTAGGAACCTGGCTTCACCTGAGGGAGACTCCCCGCAGAGCCTGGATGTCCAGCTTCTTCTTCAAGACTTCACGCACTTGGCCTTTCTCGGGTCCCTTCTTCACCTTCTCTCGCCCAATCACATACACACACTTGGGCGTCAGGATCAAGTCCCGCTTGATGGGCTGCGGGGATGCAGGATTAGAGGCCGGTGTCTGCAGCCTGGCCAGCCTGGCCACAGAGGGCCCACCCCAGGCAGAGGAGTGGTGCTGGCAGGTCAGGTGAGGAGGGTGGGATCCCTCCAGGTGAAGGTGTATGAGTCGTCTGTTTGTTTTGTAGACAGGGTCTCACTCTGTAGCCTGGGCTGGAGTGCAGTGGTGCCATCATAACTCACTGCAACCTCCCCCTTCCGGGCTTGAGTGATCCACCAGCCTCAGCCTCCTGAGTAGCTGGGACCACAGGTGCACACCACCATGCCCAGCTAATTTTGGTATTTTTTGTAGAATCAGGGTTTTGCCCTGTTGCCCAGGCTGGTCTTGAACTCCTGAGCTCAAGCAAACTGTCCTCCTTAGCCTCCCAAAGGTTTGAGATTACAGGTGTGCGCCACCACACCTGGCCATGAGTTGTTATATAAGAAACAGAAGGAGGACCAGGCGCCGTGGCTCACGCCTATAATCCCAGCACTTTGGGAGGCCAAAGTGGGCGGATTACGAGGTCAGGAGTTCGAAACCAGGCTGACCAACATGGTGAAACCCTGTTGCTACTAAAAATACAAAAATTAACTGGGCATGGTGGCGGGCATCTGTAGTCCCAGCTACCCGGGAGGCTGAGGCAAGAGAATCGCTTGAACCCAGGAGGCGGAGATTGCAATGAGCTGCGATCCCGCCACTGCACTCCAGCCTGGGTGACAGAGCAAGACTCCATCTCAAAAACAAATAAAACAGATTGGGCGCGGTGACACACGCCTGTAATCCCAGCACTTTGGGAGGCTGAGGCGGGCGGATCACGAGTTCAGGAGATCGTGACCGTCCTGGCTAACACCATGAAACCCCATCTCTACTAAAAACACAAAAAATTAGCCGGGTGTGGTGGCACGTGCCTGTAGTCCCAGCTACTTGGGAGGCTGAGGCAGGAGAATCGCTTGAGCCCGGGAGGCAGAAGTTGCAGTGACCCGAGGTTGTGCCACTGCACTCCAGCCTGGGTGACAGAACAAGATTCTGACTCATACACACAAAAGAGCAAAACTGCGTCTCAAACAAACAAAAAACCAACCAAACAACAACAAAAACAGAAGGAGGTCAGGCGGGAATGTGTTGGTTGGTTGGTTGGCTAGAAAAGGGTGTTTGGGTCAGTGAACAGGTGCTGGGTAGGTAAGGCAGCTGCTGGACATGGGTGCCTGGGCCAGATGAGAGCACTTAGACCAGGCGAAAGTGCTTGGGCCATGTGACTGTAGCCAGCTCAGGTGAAGGTATTATGGTTCAGGTGAGGGTGTACAGGTCAGGTAAATAGGAGTATCTGGATCATGAGAGGAAGTGAGCAGGTGCGTATCTGAACTCTTATGAGTTTGTACAGGAAGGCAGGTGAATGTGCAAGCCGGTTGAGCTGGCCTGCGCTCAGAGCTGGGTCTAGTGGGGATACCTGTCTCGGTGAAAACATTTCAGGTGATGGTATACAGGTCATCTGAGCGGGCATACCTGCCACATAGACCTGTCCAAAGCAGGTGTGTGGATCAGGTGAAGACACCCAACACTGTATGTATGGTATGTGAGGTTGTACAGATCATGCGAGGAGGCGTCTGCCACATAAAACTTGTCCAAGGTAGGTGAGGGCGTCCAGGCCATATGAGAATATCCATCCAGGTAAAGATGGTATATAGGTTATCTCAGTGTGTACCTGCCACACAGAGGCCTCTCTAAGGTGGGTAGGGTGAGTTACTGGGCTAGGTGACTCTCTGGGACATGAGATGTGGGTGAAGTGAGGGTGTACCTGGCCCGCCCAGGTACAGGTGAGGGTAAACAGGCCAAGTCTGGGTGTACTTCTGGACAAGAGAGTCCAGGCTAGGTGATTAGAGTACACCTAGGTTTAGGGCTGTCTGGGGCAGAAGAGGATGTGTCTGTTGGTGGAGGTGCCCAGCTGTCTATGCCAAGCACGAGTGCACCGGTCAGGTGGTGTATCTCTGTAGACAGCACGTACCTATGGACTAGGCTCCCTGGGCCAGGCGAGAGTGTACCTGTGGACAGGTGTATCTGGGCCAGGTGAAGGTATATCTAATTTCCAGGTTGAAGGGAGAGTGTACCTAATGGATGGGCGTGTCTAGGATAGGCAAGGGTGGCCCCGTGGTTGGGGTTTCTGGACAAGGTGAATGATTGTGTGATTGTGGAGAGATGCATCTGGCCAGGGGTGTATCTGATAGGTGTGTCTGGGCTACAAGTGCATGTTTGGTGGACAGCTGTGTCTGCCGTACTTGAGTGTATACCTGTGGGCAGGTGTGTCTATGCCAGATGAGGGTATACTGGTGATGGAACAGATGGATCTAGTCTGGGGGATCTAAGCCTGTGGGCAGGTGCATCTGGGCCAGGTGAGGGTGCCAGGCTGTAGCCAGGGTCTTGCCGTGCCCACCCACTAGTGCCTCACCTTGAAGCGGCGGTCGTACTTGGTGACCGAGTCGGCGAAGTCCACCCGCTCCCTCTTGCCCAGGAACTGACGCAGCTCGGGCCGCTCCTCCAGCCCCAGGTAGTCCCCGACGAAGTTCCGGTTGATGCTGTTGCGCCTCCGCTCCTTCTTGTTCAGCAGGATGTTGGAAGCTGCGGGGACAGAGGGTGGAGGGCAGAGCTCCTGACACAGCTCCTCCAGGTCCTTGCGCCGCCACTCTGCGCTGTGTACCCAAAGCCTCTCACCTTCCTCCCGCATCTCCTCATACTTCCGGACAGCCACGTGGCGCCGCCAGGCCTTCTGGATGGTTCGGGCAAAGCCGTCGAACTTTCGCTCTCGCACCTCCTCCAGGAGGAAAAGCTGGGCGGGGGTCGGGGGGGCAAGGGTGAATCCTGGTGTCTCCCCAGGGCCTGCAGTTCCGGGTTTTCCCTGGGTTTGCCCTACTCACATGCTTTTGCTTACCCACCCCCACACACGTGCTAATTTTTTTTTAAGAGGGGGGATCTTTGTAGTGACCCTTACTGAAAAAGAAAAGAAGAAAAAGGGGCCGGGTGCAGTGGCTCATGCCTGTAGTCCTAGCACTTCGGGAGGCCAAGGCGGGTGGATCACCTGAGGTCAGGAGTTGGAGAGGAGTCTGACCAACATGGTGAAACCCCATCTCTACTAAAAATGCAAAAAGAAATTAACTGGGCGTGGTGGTAGACGCCTGTAATCCCAGCTACTCGGAAGCCTGAGGCAGGAGAATCACTTGAACCCGGGAGGCGGAGGTTGCAGTGAGCTGAAATCACGCCATTGCACCCCAGCCTGGGCACCAAGAGCGAAACTCCATGTCAGAAAAACGAAACAAAAAACAAAAGCAAAAACAAACTGGTGACTCACGCCTATAATCCCAGCAGCACTTTGGGAGGCTGAGGTGAGAGGATCACCTGAGGTCAGGAGTTTGAGATCAGCCTGATAAACATGGAGAAACCCCATCTCTACTAAAAATACTAAATTAGCCGGGCATGGTGGCGCATGCCTGTAAACCCAGCTACTCAGGAGGCTGAGGCAGGAGAATCACTTGAACCCGGGAGGTGGAGGTTGCAGTGAGCTGAGATCGTGCCATTGCACTCCAGCCTGGGCAACAAGAGCAAAACTTCATCTCAAAAAAAGAAAATAAAAGACAGGGTCTCGCTCTGTCATCCAGACTGGAGTGTAGTGGGGCAGTCACAGCTCACTGCAGCTTCAACCTCTTGGGTTCAAGTGATCCTTCCACCTCTGCCTCCTGAGTACCTGGGACTACAGCTGTGAGCCACCATGCCCAGCTAATTTTGTAGTGATGTGGTCTTGCCACGTTGCCTAGGCTGGCAAAATTTTTTATCTTCCTCCAAATGACTGGACCTCCCTGCGGGTCTCTCCCCATGTGGGGTACACACTTCTGCATTACATGATAACAGTGAGTCACTAGCTTCAGATCACAGCTGTGCCATTTACTACCTGTGTGCTCTTGCCAGAAACAGTATAACATCATGGTTTCTCACACTGTTACTATAGATAGTGTACACCATCTTTGAGGTACACCCCCGTGTCAGAGATGGTAAAAATAGGAACCAGTGTGCATCTTGGAAAACCAATAAAATACAGTAAATATGAAAATCTGGCCAGGCGCAGTGGCTCACGCCTGTAATCCCAGCACTTTGGGAGGCCGAGGTGGGCGGATCACCTGAGGTCAAGAGTTTGAGACCAGCCTGGCCAACATGGTGAAACCCCATCTCTACTAGTAATATAAAAATGAGCCAGCTGTGCTGGCACATGCCTGTCATCCCAGCTACTTGGGAGGCTGAGGCAGGAGAATCACTTGAACCTGGGAGGTGGCGGTTGCAGTGAGCGGAGATTGTGCCACTGCATTCCAGCCTGGGCAACAGAGCGAGACTCAGTCCCCCGCTCCTCCACCCCCCAGTAAAAGGAAAGAATGAAACTCCATCTGAAAAAAAAAAAAAAAAAGGAAAATCTGATTTGTAGGACTGTGATGTGACTGGCAACTGTGTGGTTGGGCAGTGTACAACCTGCACAACCATCTGTGGCAGGCCCAGAAAGGAAGCTTTTGCAGAAAGCAGAGAAAAGGTTTTGTGTTGTAAGAGTCTAGGCCCAGAGGGGACTTAGAGAATGAGTTACATTACAGCAAGTGAAAGTGCAAACTCTGAGAGGAATGTCTACTCATTTGGAATAATAGCAGGTGAACAAGGTGAGGAACCCACTGGATATTAAAATGCTGTAAATCTATAGTAATAAAAACAGTAGCATGCCTGTCAGAGAATAGAACGATTAACTGGAATAGGGCAGATGCTTGAGAAACATCCTAATTCAAAGAGAAACTGTGATCAAAGGGACAATATTGCCAATTAGTGAAGATGGGAAATAATGCAAATATAGGCCGGGTGTGAAGGCTCATGCCTGTAATCCCAACACTTTTGGAGGCTAAGATGGGAGCGTCGTTGAGCCCAGGAGTTCAAGACCAGCCTGGGCAACATAGAAAGAACCCGTGTGTACAAAAAATAAACAAAAATTAGCCAAGGGTGGTGGCATGCATATGTAGTCCCAGCTACTCCGGAGGCTGAGGTGGGAGGATTGTTTGAGCCCAGGAGGTTGAGGCTGCTGGGAGCTGTGATGGTGCCACTGCACTTCAGCCTGAGAGACAGAGTGAGACCCTGTCTCAGGAAAGAAACAAAAAATAAAAGTATATTACAGATAGTTTGCTGGGGACGGCTGGAAACCAAAGGGTACACAAACTCCATGGGCGCCCTTAACAACAACAGCAATTTATTCTGCTCGCACAGTTCTGGGCCAAGGGGTCAGGAAAGCTTCCAAAAATCAAGGGGTGCTGGGCATGGGCCATACTGCTCCAAAAGAAGGAGGGGCTTTAAAAGAAGCAATCTGAGGCTGGGCCATGGGCTGGCTCACTGCCTGTAATCCTAGCAGCTTTGGGAGGGGCAAGGTGGGCGGATCAAGTTGAGGTTCAGGAGAGTTGAGACGCATCTGGCTCACAACGGTGAAACCGTCTCTACCGGAATAAAAATACAACAAAATTGAGCCAGGCGTCGGTGGCGG